GGTTTTGTTGTCTCCGTGTGTGCTATTAGTCTATGCGACGTACAGCCTTGAGTCTCAAATCTGTTCTAGACTGCTTTTCTTCTCAGGTGTCAGTCCCTGGGTAGCAAATACCTGAGTTTGCAAATGCCGGCGTTGGCTAGAAGTCCCACCATTGGCGACTAGCCACACCTCATCTGCCTACTTACATACAATGTTATTGTCATTCTTCCACCAATAACGTTTGCCTTTATCTTCCTAGCCACTACAGCGTTTCTAGCATGTATCCCACCGTGTGATATCCAATTGTCTGTCATTGAATTTCTGGCTTTGTTGCTTATAGATGTTGCTAATTCTTCCAGTGGATTAATATTATCCCCCTAAAGCAGTGGTAGTGGGGTCCACATCTCATAAACCCCAGTGAGGAGGAGACATTGTCTTTTCTGTTTCAGTTATATGAAAACTGAAAAGCAGGATTCCTGGTGACGGTTTATTGGCTATATTCTCACTTTGGGCAATTTGGAGCCCTCTTCTTCAGAGGAATATTTAAACTAACGGTGTGCTATACCTTTCTCCCTGAACCATAGGCATTAGCCTTCGCATGGTCCCTAGGCCAGGGGAGAGAGAACACAACCACCAAGCAATCCCCACCAGTGTTTGCATGGCACTTTAAAAGTTTAAAGTAAAGATGAGCTCTCACAGGAAAGAAAAATATAGCTGCAAGAGTTGTTTTTTTTTTTTTTTTTTTTTTTTAGTTCTCCTTCCAATATATTTGAGCAGAACAACTCACCACATTTGGCATTGCTAAAAGAATAGGGTAGTCATTATAAATTTCATTTAGGTAAATCTGTATAGTGTCTTGTTTGCAATTGATGCAAATAATTAGAAACTCGAGATGGGGAAAAGCAATATTTTCTCAATCTTAAAAGATTCTGAAACAACACACAATTGCATCTTTAAAATCTAGGTAGGATTTAGTAAAGGGGCTACTGTCATTCCAATAAGTCCTCTGAATGAAGGTCACACCAGATGCCACATGTTCTTGCTTATAAGTCGGAGCTAAACTGTTACCACACGAGGACACACTGAGGGGCGTAATGGACATTGGAGACTCAGAAGGAGGGAGGGTGGGGGGTGAGGGATGAAAAATTACCTGTGGGGTTCAATGCACGCTACTCAGGTGATGCATACAAAAGCCCAGACTTCACCGCTATACAATATATACATGTAATGGAATTCAACTTGTACACTCTAATTCCATTAAAATAAAAAAGAAAAGAAGAAGAATGAAAGTCACGGCCAGCTTTGCAGAGGAAGCCCCGAGTTTGCGTGTACAAGCTATACAAAGACTGCATTATTAACCCCCAAGCTTGGGAGTTCCAGAGGAGCCTTGTTCCAAGGGAACATTAGGAAAACTGTTTTGTGGGTATATACCACATAGCCATTATTCCTCTCAAACCTCAGGTTACATGATGTTCGACAAGCAAGTGACGAATAGTGTCCAGTTCACTGCTGGTGGCAGCATAGAGTGATATAACTCTTCTTAATAGCAGTTATAATAATCATCAAAAAAAGCAGAAAACAAATGCACATTTTTACCTTGTAATACTAATTTTGGAAATTAATTGTAAAGGTGGAAAGATTTACCTAAAAGGGTGTTTGTCCAAGTATTTATATAATATCAACAACAAAAAAGAAAAGAAAAAAGAAATAAAACAACCTAAAAGTTAGGTAAAGCCAATTTTAAAATAAATTTTGTTTTAACGACAAAATAAAATTATACCCAGTCATTATAATAGATGTTGCAAAAATATTTAATGATGTATAAGTATATATTCATGATAACTAATTAATTGAAAACTTTAAAACTCTAAGAATGAATTATGAAATGTGAAATCTGTGGCATATTTTATGGGTGTTGACTCATATTTCAAACTCGGGGTACTGTGGGAACCTTTAAGATCCTACTCCAGCACCCTGCCCCCAAAAATCCACATACACCCGTTGGTACATATACACACTTATCTAAATGATTCCTTATTCTGATTTCTCACTTGATTAGACTGAATTGGTTACTTTCATTATAGCAGTGGTTTTCAAGCATAATTTTAGCAACAAAACCCTTTTAAACTCTGAAACTTACAAAAAGCCTTAGATGATAATAATAATAATAGCAGAATTTACATAGCTTCCCATACTCCAGGCACTGTTCTGAACTTCCGTGTTATTGAATCGTCACAAGAATTCTCTGAAGAGGGTATTGTCGTCATCTGTACTTTGCGTAACTCGTGAAAGTTAAGGGATTGCCTTAATTTTTAAAATGAGCTGCTTTGGGGAATCGGATGGCACGGGAGCTCTGTCTAAGGGGTCATGCTGTTTTCATTTTCAAGAAACAACAGACATTTTGTTATAATGACATGTCTTCTTTGTAGACTTTTACAGTTTTATTTCTAAAAAATACATGCTTATTTTTCTTCGTCATGCCAGACTGGGTGAGAAAGGCACGGAATGAGTAATTGTTTTCCAAATCGAATGTATTCGGGCATTTCCCACTGGATCAAAGAGTAGTAGAAATAGGCATCTGCTTTAACAGCCAGTTTCTGAGCTCACCAAATGAGCATGATGGTGGCCCCTGGTCTTAATTGTCTCATCGTTTCTTAGAAGAGATGCTAAGTATTTGCCTGTTTCAGTACTTCATATTCAGCTGCATTCTGGGCCTGATATCCTGCTCGGTGTTCCTGCGGGTGAATTACGAGTTGAAAATGTTGATCATGATGGTGGCGTTGGTGGGTTACAACATCATCCTGCTCCACACCCACGCCCACGTCCTGGGTGACTACAGCCACGTCCTGTTTGAGAGGTGAGCTGCTGCCGCTTCCTTCTCTTTACTGCAGTTCTCTCATGGGATGTGGATCACGTGAGTGTGTTGAATAAATGCAAATTAGCAATGCCATTGTCATTGATAAATCATTGTCAGAGAGTTATTTTGACACGATGGTTCAAAAAGATGATGTGTGCTTTTATTATAGATTACATAGAATATGTATTATCAAATATAGTTAGAAGATACGAAGTGGTTTGGAGAGAGGACGTGTGTAAAAATCTCTACTATATTGACATGAATATTCAGGTATTTCAACCTCAGCACTGTTGACATTTTGGACTAAACAATTCTTGGTTGTAGGGGGCTGTCCTGTGCATAGCAGGACGTGTAGTGACACCCCTGGCCTTTACCCCCGAATGCCAGTCACAATCCCCCCACCCCAACTCATGACAATCATAAATGTCCCCAGAAATTGCCAGAAATTCTCAGAAGTACGAAATGGGCTTCAGTTCAGAACAAAATGCTGAAAAAATAAGTAGCTACATTGACAAGTTATAGTGCTAAATTTCTTAGTAGAGATTTCCTACAATACTATTGTGGGAAAAGGAAACTGTTAACCCTTGGAAATTCTTTGTTCTGTGAAGAACGTAACTTCTAAGAAAAGATATGACTGTGTTAACTCTCTCAACCTTAGGCTACATGTAGCAAAAATGATCCTATTGGGTGCACTCACTCAATTTAGGAAGGGCTTCCTGTTATCGAAGGAATTAGCTCAATTGTATTCTCATGCATATTATTTCTATATATTTCTTTTAACATAAAATAAATGCCTTAAATATTTACATATATTCGTTGCTGCAGAAAGATGGTTTGTGTTGACAGCACGTGGCCACTTACTTCTCCCTTGGAGACCCAGTGACAGGAACAGTAGTCCCCATACTGTGTGAACGTTTCTTACCGATAAGAACATTTTCAGAAACACAACTGCAGCCCATACTCCTCACCTAATTTAATTTTCATCATCCTCCGCACCATGAAACCCTGATAATCTGTAATCAAGCTGAAAGCGGTGCAGTTGTAAAAATGCATAATTGTATTAAGGAAATTTTATGATTTCTTAGCCAAGATGAGAATGAAATCGGAAGTTAATTTTTCAATAAATTCTCAAAATCTCCAACCAAGCATGCTTTAATATTCTCTACAGTATCCAGAGACCCTGTATCATATTCCTAAATAAATGCAGCATTATTGATTTTCACACATAACTGATGACGCTACTAAATCTCCTGTTATTAAATTTAAAGCGTCTGAATATGTTATGCATCTGAAAGCAAAGAAGAAATCAGATTAGCAGGTTTCTGATGTGGAGAGCGTTGCTTCCGGGCCCTCCGTGAGGCACATGGAAAGACACCGTCTCTGAGTAAAACCCCAGCAGCAGTAGTGTAGTTATTACACTGAAGAAAAGGAGTTTTGGGGTTTTTTGTTTATTTATTTATTTTTACTTTTTGAGCACTTTTATGTTTTATTCAAGGTCTTTTTTATTTGCTCTCTTGGTTTGTCTTTATAATGACCTTAAAGCTGGGGAGGACCCACTTGAGGTGCCTCCACGACTTGCCTTCACTCCCAACAGCAAAGCCAGCATCCTCTCAGCGGGATGCACCTGCGTCCCACCTGCTAATCTTGTCTGGAAGATTCCAGCATTTCCCAAACCCAATCCTGCGTGAGCTGGCGCAATACTCCCAGAAGCATCTTCTACCAGAAGATTAGTATTATTGACATAATAGCAGAATAACTCAAAAGTAACAAATCTTCTATAATGTTAGTTTAAAACTAACCCCAGTGAAAGCCCCTTAAGAGTGAGACCTTAGAATTGCCCCTGATGCCTCCAGCCTCAGTGCCTGTTTGGCACAACCCTGCGAGTCATGCCAGAGGCAAAACTGGTCGATGTCCATGTTTTCTTTCTCTTTCCTGAGATTCAAGAGCTTTTCTCCATCAAATAATTGATAGAGATTTCCTCTTCCTTTGCCTGGGTTATCGATACTAGCACAACTCTTTCTGGTATGGAAGTAGGATCCTTTAAAAGATGAAAAAAGCCCTGGTGTGGCACGGTGCCTGGAGAAAGAACATCACTGAATCCCAAAGCCAGAGGTGCTCTTCAAGGAGGCAGCACTGCCTTTCTGATTGAGCCTTTCTGAGCCGGTCTGTCACTGAAGTCAGGGCATTTGGTCCCATACCTTTGGTGACCCTTTTCAGGGCTTGGCGTCATCACACGCTTCTCACTCCTGGCTTCCAGCTTCTTGCTCTGGTCTTCTTTCTGGGGCTGCGCCGGGCTACAGCATGGCAGTGGCCTTGCTGCCCACGGAGGACTTGCGGCTCATTGGTATGGAGAGCTCCCAGTGGACCTGCCTAAGCTTTGGGCTTCACCCCTGCCCCCGCCACATGCCCAAGGACTGGGCAGCTCCTCTGTCCCACTTTGCCCTGGAAAAATGGAAAGTGTCCATCCTGTTGTCTGTGAGCCCCCTTTCTGTGATACATGTGCTGAGGACTTCAGCACTCTCTCAGAAGGTCCAAACCAAGGACAGCTGCTGTATGCACAGTGCCCACCACCGTGCCTTGCACATAGCACTCAAACAACATCTGGCGAAGGAATGAACAAAAACAGCAGGTGCCCCTGAGCAACCAGAATGGCCTCGTACTGGCTTAATAAAATCTCTCGCTGCACCTGTTTTCCTGAGGATGGAGCGTATCTCCACTCCCTGCGGACATGTGTTTTCAGTATCCACATCAGTTTTTGTCTGTATCTTTAAACTTCAAAGGGAAGTTTGGCAAGGGCATCTTTGTTTAAAGGCAGCACTGGCCACCTTCTGAACACACAGTTTGGACAGTGAGGTTGTCCTGTATGTGACCTCACCATGACCGCGGTGGCCGGGTCGTCTTCACAACCAAATTGGACATTCATAACGGACAAGCCAACAAGATGGTGCAAATGCACAGAGTTAGCAGAGAATATAGGAGAGGTATGCATCAGAAAAATTTCAGATCAATGAATAATCAGAAACTGATATTGAAGATATTCTTACAGATCCGTGAGTGTGGAAAGCAGACTTTTCAGTAGGAAAGAAAGACTCACTGAGAGAGAGTGTGCCATTAACACAATCCATTAGGATGGAGGCCGGGAGCGTCCCAGAATCTCACATGACCTGCCAGGATGTAATTCTGTTAAGTCACCTCCTGGGGAAGGACACTCAGGCGTTTCTGGTGTCTGGAAGGTCCAGAACAAGATGTTTCCTAATTCTTTGGTTTTCACAGCAGTCCTCCATATCGTCTGTGAGTATGAGATGTTTTGCTGAACCCATCAGTAACCGGCCCGTTCCTGTCCCTGACACCGTCTCTCAAAGCCCTTTGCCAGAGCTGCTGAGAGCCCAGTGTGCCCTTCCAGGTGCTGCTGCGGTTAACAGGAGTTGATATTGCTGGAAGCTGTTTTTGACTCGAAGATACTTCCCCTTCCAGTGACAAAGGCTTGCTACTGAGTCTGCAAAACGTTGTCAGATTTTTCCTATGAGTTTCTTTTCCTGCATAACTGAAAAGTCTCAAGGGATGAGTGTTATTTCATATAGACCCTGCCATCATGTTTAACTGGCCTGAAGGCTAGAAATGTACCTTAATTCTAGAGGGGTGTGAGGGGAGGAGGGCTGGGACAGAGGAGCTAACGAGGAGTCCTGCAGCATAACCAGCTCCGGCTGGAACTACAGCCTACAGCAGCACTTAATGAGGTGCTTCAGCTGCAGCTACAGCCAGCGCTTAGCATCACCCAGAAGCTCCAGCTTGTAGCTGGCAGAAATGTCTGCATAACTTTGCTTCCAGGCCTTAGCAACAGCTCCCTGTCAGGGAGAGCAGCGGAGATGCTCAAATCAGCATGTATCATCGAGATCTGGGAATCATGAGCACCTTCAGTGTGGAATTTTTGTGCTTTCCTTGTTTTTCCTGTGCCTCATGGAAATCCCAATGGCGAGAATTTGAGATACTGCGCTGTGCTTTGACAAAGTCCCAACTAGGGATCAAGGGATGATGAACAGTTGTAAAGCTTGAGGCAGAGCTGGGGAGTTCCTCCCACACGGGAGACGGGCAGGGAGAGCTGCACGTCTAGCCCTGGGCTGGATGGTCCATGGGTATTCCCAAGCACCTGGAATTTCTCTGAAGTCTTCTCTTTTAAATTAAAAATGTATTTCAAATTTGCGTTCTAACCTATAATATAGTCAAGCTAATATTGAAAAGATTTTGAATTACTTTCAACTTTAGTAGCTCAGCTTTCCCCACCCCGTGCCATCTTGAGAAGGTCAGGAACACAGCACCACGCCTCTCTGTCTGACACCCGCCGGCAGGGCAGCAGGAAGGGAGGCGACAAAGCAACTAACTTTAACAACAGAGCTAGTCGTCCTCGGGCTGCTCAGGTGCTACCAAGCTTTCTTTCCTTCTATAAAAAGTGACTGTTCGTTATCTGCTTCTTTATCTGACCTAAAACAGAAAATACCCTGTGGTTTGGACTCATCTCCAGAAAGGTACTTGACTTCTAGGCTTGTTTTGTTTTGTTTTGTTTGATTTTAGAATGTGGGGAGGGATTCCACAGGCCTGTGCCCATAGACTGTTAAATGCACGATGCTTCTAATCATCAGCCCTTCTGTCTGTGATGCTACAGCTGTGCACAGCCCCTCCGGTCAGGTCCCACTGATGGAACAGTTGCTTCCCACTTAGAATCACTCTTCTCCACAAGATGAAGCGCATTCATCAGAATGCAGGGTTATCTCCGTAGCAAAGGGCCAGCACTGCCCCCACAAACACACACATTCTCTCCCGACCTACAGCTGCCTCCGGGGCTCCTTTCTAAGCATGAGCCTGTTCCTTCCCGTGCTGGTCTGTTGCAGCACCAGAGTGTTTTGCTTGGCATTTATGACACCACTCCGAAAAAGCAGGAGGCCTTGAGCCATCTGTCCCAGGATGACATAGGACTTCCACCTTCTCTGGAAGTTTGCATAGGA